TGGGAAGAAAATGCGATTATTGGATCTCACACGTGGCATTGGAATATTCCGACATGTGAGACATTATGATTATGTTATTAGCTCATCACACATGACGTTGGATTATCCGGCGTGTTATAGAGGATCCGTATACTTGGGTTACCGTTACTTTACTACGCGTGGCGTGGGATTATCCAGCGTATGGTAAAGTAACAGAGAGGGGAAAAAGGGATTATTTTACTATATCGGAGAAAGAGTGATGCTTAAAAAGAATTGTGTTTGGTGTGTTGTGATTTAAATTAAAAGGGAAAGAAATAATTCTAGAATTTATTATTTTATATTGTTGTAATGGATTGTATGTTATTGAAACCGGGATTTTTGTAGGAAGAACTACGTGTGGCTTGATCCCCCAGTAAGGGTACGTAGGTTGCCTGGGGTCCCACCCGAGTGCAGTCGCGAACTAAAGTTATTTTGGTCTTTGGATGAGTTTGGTGTCGACCTTGTCGGTGATTTTAAGGCTCGATCGAAAACGAGGCTTGATTGAATAAATATTTATTATTCCGTTGGACTAAGTGAATGTTGTTAATTTGTGGTTGTGGTCAAGTATTTACTTCTCACAGAAAGAGAACCAAGTATACCCGGGGGTTGTTTGTTGAGGTTCAAGATTTGAACTGGGGACTTACTTGGAAGAAATGCTGCGCGTTTGGCTGAAGTGGCGTTTCTAATGAGGGAAAAAGCTTCCCGCCGGCAAGAAATTTGGATTTTATGTAAAGCCGTGGCATTCTTCTTCCCCCAAGCTTTGAACTTATCATCAGCTTCTTCTTCTTCTTCTTCTTCCACTACATCCCAATGCATTTATCAGAAGAGTCAGTGAAGAGTCCGCGACGGGTGGTGAGGATTATATATATACACCCGCTCATTACTGAGTCGTTTTTTTTGGTATCAGAAGAGTCATTACTGGAGAAGTTACAGCTGGTTCGTTTCTGTCTTGTTTCAAATCATTCACACTTGCTTCTGTCTTGTATCACCATTAACTTGCATTGCAATTAACAAATTAAACCAAACCATCGTAATTATAATTCAATTTATAATGAAGTTGGCCATGTGCACGCACAATTCAACAAAGAGTAGTTTACTGGCTACAGCTGGCTCGTTATGGCTGAGTTCTTCTGTGGTGCAGTCAGTCACGTCTTCACTTAAAAGGTATTTAGAAAATTGGTGACAACCGGGGGTTACAACTTATATATTTGTGCAAATTCATATGTTTGTGCAAGTTCCATACACGCTCCACAGTCTCTTTGCTTGGCACAGTTCCTCCTGGAAACGTGGGGAATGTGAATGGAAAGATCATGTTGCAACTTGCACAATTATTAAAGATTCCCCATCTCCGGAGCCTCATTTTGCAAGACCAAGACTAAGTCCAGCACATGCATTCCTGAGTTAAGATAATCTTCTAGTTCTGAGATCCAGTCAAACATTTTTTACTATTGCTACGGTACAGAGGTTTTACCATGGTGGCGCCTTTGACTTGACCTGTTCGTTGCTCGATCTTTGTATGTAACGGGCAGAGCCCAAAACAAAGTCAAACAACTTCAAGACTTATCCCAAATTCTTTTCTCACACGCTTATCTTCACCGAGAATCACAACATATTATCAGGGATATGGGGAGGGATATGGGGAGGGAAGCAAAAGCTTATCCAACAATTATATCTTCACAAGAACAAATAAAATAGATATTGAACTTTCAGTTTTATTAGAGGTTGCCAAACACATACATGGCATGGACAATGCATACAAGCTTCTTAGAAGTTACAACATTACGAAAGTTATACATTACCACTTACACGTACCATCAAGAAGTTGAGTCCATGATTTCACTTTCCTATCAAATATTCCACTCCCAAGTAGAAGAATTTATGCCCTTGATTTCACTTTCCTGTCAAATATTCCTCGTCCATAAGTAGAAATGAACATCTCAACTAGAAGAGGAAATTGCATCCCAATAAATAAGGTGACTGGAACACTAGCAAGGAAAATCATTGGAATAACAATCCACGACTGTTCATGGATCATAATGAAAAGGGCGGAAGAAAAGGCAACCATCATATTGGCAATAGAGATGAATAAGGTGGAAAGGCCTATTATCATCTTTGTTGGCAAGGATTTGAGGAAATCATGTTCCGCATAACGTGATGTAAGGATTCCTAAAAACATCAACACCGAAGTTGTAGATGAAAAGAGCGATATAGCATCTGAAACTATAAAAGCCATAAATAAATTTTTATGCCAGAATATCGGGAAGCCTGTTTCTCCGTTGTTTCCACCAGGAACTGTGAATGCTGCAGCAAACATGATGGTAATAATGAGAGCACCTACAACTGTACAAGAAGTTGCAGTTTCTTTCATCCATCTTTCTCCCTCCTTCACCAATTCCTTGTGGCTCCTTGTAAACAACTCACGCGGCGTCATACGGTTGTTATTAACAGATTCTTTAATCCGGGGTAATGCAATAGTCTCGACCTCCTACATTTTTGTTGAACAAAAAGATTCATATGAGTAAAAGATTATTACTCTATTTTTCCAATAATTAGAGAGCAGATGTAACAAGAAGACTAGCATGCTGACCGTAAAGTAAGTTGAATAAGACATCTTTGGTCGACCTTTATTCCAATTTTTCTTTTCATTCTGCATTTGAAGTTTCTATTAGAGGTTATATTTTAACTCGTGCTATTTTGCCCTAGTTTTCAATATTAGAATTAATAAACTACTAAATGTAACTGAGCTAATGAGAACTTCGGCATCCACCTTCGGTATAAAACCCACCGATCGCAACATTAGGGCAACCTCGCCCCCTTCGACACGTGGCAGTCCCACAACTGACGTCCAGAGTCCCACATCGAAACTCAAGACAAATTGCACACCTCCCAAGGCCTATAAAAGAGGACCACCATCCTAGCTTGGAGGTAATCAATCAGAACTCACGGCATACTGCCTATTGATCTATAGTTCAACTTTACTAAAATCCGTACTTACTTAAACATCGGAGAGCCTTCGGCCGGTACCACACCGGTGCCCTAGGACTTACCTGTGTTTGCTATCTTACAGATTGGACACACTACCGAGGACATCAGATACCGAAGGAAACATAATCACTAAGTTACGCGGGAAAGTGCCGAATCATTTTTCTGCGTCAACAGTTTGGCGCCGTCTGTGGGAACGATAACAATCAACCTACAATTCCTAAACAAAACAGATGGTAACCACTTCAGGACCACAGTTCCTGTCAGAAGATGGGTTACCGTACGGTAGGCCAAGCGGAGCAAGCCCCGCGCTGCACCCTAGCACCCCCTTCGGTAATCCTCCAGTGCTTCAGACCATGGTCGAAGCGGAGCTTCTAGCTCAGATGATCTCCCTTCGGAAGGAGATGGCTAAACTCCAAGAACATAACAATTTCCTTTCGTCCAAAGTGGACGAAACCCAATGGTTGCTTAACCAACAGGAAACACAGAACGATCAGACTACTGACTCTTCCCAGAGTCGGCAGACCCCCTGTCGGCAGAGGAAGGGAAAGTAGGGGGGAAAGGCAACGCTTGCGCTCTCCAAACAGTTGGTGGTCCCGGCTCCCCAGGACCAACCTCATGTACCAAAGAAGGTATACACCGATTGTCGTCATCGGATCAACGACAAGAAGGAGGCCGAACGGCATAGGTCCCCAATCGGAGTTAACGCCCGCCTGAGGGACTCCCGGATGAAGGTCCTGGGAGATAAATCGCCCCTTCGGAGGGTCCAAGGTTTGGATTCGGCGCTGGAATCAGATGATGAGTACGTCCCCACCAGGGGCACCGAATCAAGTTACCGTTCGGAAGCTCCCCCGGAGTATTCGAAGGCAAGACCACCAAGTCAGAGGAGAACTTCCGAAGACTTCAGTTCCGAGGACGTCCCCAGCCGAGACCCCGCTATCCGCCTACTTTTCCAAAGAATCCAGAAGATGGAGGATGACCGAACCCGGTCCCAGGTCCCTGACTGGGGAAAACTCCGGCCGGGACCCTTTACCGAGCGCATCAAGAAGTCCAGGCCGGACAGGGAGGTGCAGCCGTTGCGCATACCCTTTTATACCGGTGTGGAGGACCCTTTGACGCACCTTCACTCCTTCCAATCGGCAGTTGGGTGCAAGGGCCTTAGCGACGAGGGGCAATGTCTGCTGTTTCCATCGTCCCTTACCGAATCTGCTCTGAACTGGTTCTACCGTCTCGAGCTAGGGACGGTAGACTCCTTTGACGAACTGAAGCAGATTTTCCTCAACCACTTCATGATCTAGACGGATCGCTTGTACTCTGCTGATGATCTGTACACGATTCGGCAGAGGGAGGACAAACCCTTATGGGAATATGAAGCGCGCTTCAGTCACGAGTACTCGAGGTGTCCTGAAACGGACGATAGGGCAGCCTATGGCGCCTTCAAGAGTGGCCTTCGGTACCTCGTGCATAGTAGCAACTGGCGCACGTACGACGAGTTGATGAAGCAGGCGGCAGTGCATGCGAAAGCTGAATACTTCAACTCCAAACCCGGGCCTTCGGCTCGGAAGGAGGAGTCAGCTACCAAAAGTTATTCGGGGCGAACTGACGATTCTTCGGCAGGACACAAACGGAAGGACGACCGCGATAGTCGTCAGGGAAACTCGAAGAAGGGGCACGGGAAATACGGTCGTAACGACCACCGAGCGCCGTTACCGAATCACGATCGTGCCTAGGAGGTCTTCACCCTCCTGAACACAACATACGAGACCGTTCTGATGAACGAGCATGATCAAATCCCGAAACTGACGAACTGAAAGCCCAATCGGCAGGATAATCGGGATATTGGCAAATTCTGCTGATACCACCAGCAGAACAGCCACAACACCGAAGACTGCGTCAGTCTGAGGAAAATTGTCGAGCGTCTGATTCGGGAGGGAAAGTTGGATCAGCACCTCGCCAGGCCACCACAGGCACCAGCACTGAATGCGAATCGGCAGATCAACATGATCAGCACGATCAGCGGTGGCCCCACTCTGGCAGGACCCTCTAACCGATCGATGAAGCAGTACGTGCGTGCCCCCCACTGCCCTCAGGTCTTCGGCATAGAAGACGATCGGTACCGAAAGGTGCCGAAGGTGGGATGGGAGCCCATCACATTTTGTGAAGAAGATGAGGAGGGGATCATTTACCCCCACGATGACCCAATGATCATTCGGGCCGAGATCACCGATTACGATGTGGGTCGGGTGCTGATCGACACCGGAAGCTCGGTGAACGTAATCTTTGCCGATGCGTTCAAGGGACTGGGGATTGTCGACAGCATGGTCACTCGGCAAATCACGCCTCTCCTCAGTTTTTCTGGGGATCTGGTCCAGCCAGTCGGCAGTATCCGTCAACCCATCGCCTTCGGCGTCGCCCCCACGAAAACAATGACCTACGACCAAATCCTCA